CCAGAGGTTTCTACTCATTTACCCTGCATTTATCCTTTTGGCTATTACAAAACAATCTCTGGAGAACACAGCTAACAGTTTCCTGAAGGAATTTCTTAACAGTCAAAAATGAACACCTCTCAGCATTCCTAAAATCCTTCTTCATATGTCACTGATTCAGGCTCCTTTACCATCTCTATAGGATTTGTCCCCACCCATAGCAGAAGAAATGGAATTAGTATGATAGTGGTAGGTCACTTAATTTCACAATAAGCCTAGTCAATTCAATGTGTCTGTAACACTAGTGACTATGGCCTTTCACTGCTTATTTATTTGGACTTCTCTTTTTGGATGCTTCCTCTCTGTTCTCAACCAGGTTTCTCGACTATTCCAATATTTAATACTTTCTGCATTCGGTATAGTACTTCTGTCTCAATCACCCTTCCTTGGATCATACGTCTAGCTGAGAATAAGGTGATCCTAGCCCACTTCAGTCTACTGCCTGGCAAGTCTTTGCTAAGGAGTGAGTAAAAACTATACATATTTGGTCATTTCCTTCTGAATGTAGTCTCATTTTTCCACACCCGTTTAGTGCTGATTAGCTAGCAGCTAGACCCCAATGTCCGTTGTGACCATGTTCTTACCAATACTTAAAAGACCATGTAAAAGAGACATGAGAAAAGAAAAGGGTCAGAGAGATGCTATATCGCTGGCTTTGAAAATGGAGGAAGGGGGGCCATGAGCCAAGGAATGCAGGCCACTCTAGAAGGTAGAAAAGGCAAGGAAACAGATTCTTAACTTTTCAGAAAGGAACACAACCCTGATAACACTTTTAGTCCAGTGAAATCATGTTGAATTTCTGACTACAGAACAGCAAGAAAATAAATTTTTGTTGACTATACCACCAAGTTGGTGCTAATTTAAGGCAGTGATAATGAATGCAAAAGATAAAAAGATTAATAATATTTTGGTTAAGCTACACTGAGTTTTCTAAATTAATAAAATTAACTTTTATTAAAGACAAATGTTTATGGGAAAAATTTAAGCACAGGAGAAAGTTTTGATGGAAATATTGGCAATAACTATACAGAGAAATTCAGTGTTAATATTAGTTTGGAAATATAAAGATTACATCACTCGATGTTGTATTTTAAAAGATATTAGAATTATTCACTACACCACGGTGGTTTTATATCCTACAAAACTTTGTTTTGGTTACTCATTTATATTTCTTTAGGTTTCACTGACATCTTTTTTCCAGCATGATTACCAGTACTTCCAGCACCAATTTCCAAATTATACCATGTCTGTTGTTTAAAAACTTCCCAATTAACAGGTTGTGTATGTTTTGACTAAATTAGCCATTTGACAAACAGATTCCTTCTCCCTAACTTTGTGGAGCAAGAAAGGTAGATTTTTTTGTTGATGTTGAAAAGTGAATATATGACAAATTATCTCTGCCCGTAGTTTTTATACTCAGGGCAGCACTTAAGGTATTACCATTATAAAATCTAAACCCTTTGCTAAAGAGAACCACCACACTAACCCTCCCAAAGTGAGAAGTGCCAGGCAACCAGAATTTGACTCATAATTCTCAGGGGAAATTTGCCATTTGAAGATCAATTTTATTTCAGAATGAGACATTGATATAGACAGTTAACATTTTTTAAATTTATCTTTTAAATTCTTGAATCACTAAGGACAATATTTTGCTGTTTATTGGTACAAAGCAGCCCTGTCCTAGGTATACAAGGGTATACAAGTTTGTAACATCATTAGCTTCGGTGAACTTACTTTACTAGACAGCATAGCAAAGTAGGAGTAACTAAAGATATATTGTAATAAGAAAATGTTTTAAAACATTATGAAGTCAATGAACATTTGTACAATTTACTCATCAAAATATAAATGTATGTCAGCTTATGTGTGTGATTTACACTAAGTCATTCTAAACACAGCCGTGTGCTTAGGAATGTGTGAAACAATTCATAAACTATTCTCTAAGGGGGTGTACTGAAAACTTCCAAAAGTACCCCAGATATTTGGTCATAGATAAGAAGAGATAAACTTTAAGGCAATCTTCCAAGTGAATGTAAACTTTTCTGAAGTGGCCATTCCAGTAAAGTGTTACTGTTGTGAATACTCTGTACTTGTAGTGCTATTGGATATTTTTAGTAGCACATTGTCACACTAATTGTCATTTTGTAAAAAATAGCGTAAAAATCCTGCAATTATAAAAATGTCTGGGGTGCTTTTACTCATAGACACAAAGCAGGCACTTTCTGTTAACTTATCTGCAAATCCTAAATATTTTCTCCTAATAACAGTTTTTATCTTTAGCTAGAATTGTGTTCCTAATATTGTTTGTGTTCTAAATACTGTGTTCACATATTGAGAAATAATAATTTGTCTAATTTAAATTTGAATTTAGAATTTCTTTTAATAGATCATTTTCTACAGAAGCATTAAAAATAAATAGTGCTACTTTTTGAATAATTTTCAATACGATGCCTTTTTTTTTTTTTTTTTTTTTTTTTTTTGTTACGCCTTTTTCCAAAGTAGTTTTCAGAGCATGTGAACTAAACTGACTACACTGGAGAAATGGATACAAGCTGTTATGAGAGCTCTCTTGTAGTGACCAATGAGTTTCATTTAATCTCCTTCTTAGCCTTATAATTGGCAGAGACCACCAAGTAATTATCTGGATTCATGTCCTTAAGGGTTGGAGATTTGCTTTGGATGGGGGATGTTTTGCCATCCACACGGGAGATCTGCAGCATTCGGCAGGGGTCGTGTTTCAACAAATACCCTGCAAAAGTTTCCCATCCTCCTCCCACACGGACCATGACATGTTTGTTGTGCAGCATCTGAAATGAGAAGAACAAACGTGTTAAATTCTGAAAATCCTTACCGTATCTCAAATCAACTCCCAGTTCTAGTAAAATAAGTGTTTTTTTGTTTCTCTTGTATTTTATGCCCCATTGTTTTTCTACTTGGTGCATACAGTCTGAGTTAGCATCTATTGCAACTTATGAAAGAAGCCTTGTTTTTTCCATGCAAGAGGACTGCGGGTAAATATCCCCAAGGATCTAGCTTTGCTGTGCTATGGGAACCAACATGTATATATAATTCTTTGGTTTAAATGTCTGGAGGCTTTTCTCTGACACCTGATGTTCATCCTAGCTCTCATCACAGCCTCCAGTTCCTGTCCACTGCCTCAGAATTCTGCTCCATTCTTCCCACCAGGCTACTGCCCTCTGAACCAGGACTTAAAACGACCAAGGAACTATATGCTATTAAATTATCATAGAGAATTAACCATCACATAAATATTTAATACAACATAGAATTGAAAATGACTCAGAAAAATTGAGGTCTTCTCCAGTCATTGTCTAAGCCCTTCCAGGCGAGCAAGATGTTTCTCAATAGCCAAATATGTTTGTTTTTCTTTACTATTATTCTTATTACTTTAGGACACATCCTTTTAAAAAACTTACCTCCAGGCCTAGGAGCCATCTAGAGTTCCCAGTTAAGAAGGCTATAGATTTAAAAAGTAAAGAATACATGGTTCTTTCTATTTAGCAAAAACATGTTGTGGAAGTTTGGCATGGAAAAGCAAAGAATTTGACCTTGGCTCCTAATCAAATATCAAAAAACTTAAAATTAAGAGGGAATGTTGCAAAATCATCAAAGACCTTGCTGACTCAGTCTTCTGCTCAAAATACTATGGATACATACTGGCATGTAACATTGGGAAGGGGATGCAGCTTTGAGAGGGAATCTGGGAAGATCTTTCATCATAGAGCCCTTACAATCTACTTGAATTCCTCTCACTCCTTGTCAGCTCGAAATCGGGACTTTTTTGACTCTTGAGTCGAGGATAACTTGTGCTTTTATCACTTTCATTTAGCCTTTGAGAATCTGATAAAAGTTTTGTATGCTCTATATGCCTATATCTACAAAAATTTGCATCTGCTTTTAGGGGTTTCACAAAACCTTAGATGTCCATCTTTAGATACAAACTTAGAAACCCTGATTTATATGATTGACATGAAGCAGTTTTCAAAATCAAATATTGTGCAAAGTAATAAGTGTCATGAATAACAACAATTAAAACTATTAGATTCACAAAACTTAAATGTAACTCTACTGGTTATTCTCACTTAGAGTACTAGAATTTTAGAACAGACAGGTCCATAGAAAATATCTTCCAGCTAGAAGTCTTTAAAACTATTTTAGCATCAGAATATACTCACTAAATAAAATCTCAAGGAAAGCGCCTGAAAAACAAAATATATAACAGGATTTAGGATTTAGCTTGTAATTACTTTGTCTCCCGCGGTCCTGCCAGTGGTACTATGTTCTTGTTTTACAGATGACGACACTGAGGACCAGATATTTTATATGATTTGCTTAAGACTCGGATTTTTTGACTCTAGTCTAGTGGTTTTCTCATGACAGTTCCTACTTAAAAAGCAAAATCCATCAGGGCTTTTATAATTTGACCCATTTTTCACGTGTTTGTGTGTGTGCCTCTAATGCCTGCTTCTGAAACTTGAAGTTACTGGGACAAAAATGGCAAAGGCCAGTGTCAAAATGGCACTTTGCTTGACCCTTTTTTTTAATTTTCAAGTTTGGGTTATTTATTTATTTATTTATTATTGTAACATAGTTGATTGTACATATCTGTGGGGTACAGTGTTGAATATCAATACCTGTGTGCAATATGTGATGTTCAAATCAGGATAAATATTATATTCAACATTATAAAATGTAATCATTTTTTATGACCCTTTACCAATTCCTCTATTACTCCCCTGCTTGACTCTTTTTCCCACTGTTCCAGAGAGCAGCTTTGCCTATGGTTGAAGTTCTGGCACCTTTATGTCTGCAAATTACATTTAAGAGTTGCCTCCAAACTTCCCGCGTATGAATGCCTCTGGCAGAATACTCAAGTTCACTTGATTGTAAGCAGACTATTTCAACCAGTAAGAACCACTGGTCAGAACAGTTTTTAAACAGTTAATCTTGGGGGCCGGCCCGGTGGCGCACTGCTACAGTGCGCCGCTTGGGAGCGTGGCGGCGCTCCCGCAGAGGGTTTGGATCCCACATACAGACTGTTCCCGCTCACTGGCTGAGCGAGGTGTGGACGCAACACCGAGGGTTGTGATCCCGTTGCCGGTCCCGGTCCGGTACGGGTGCGACACTGAGGGTTGCGATCCGTTGCCGGACACGAAAAAAGACAAAAAAATAAAAAATAAAAAAAATAAATAAATAAACAGTTAATCTTGGAAAACAGTGATGCGCACTTTTCAGCCTGAAATATACTGATCATTAGGCACATATTCTGCTTGCAGATTCTTTAATAAATCCATAGGGCCCTGAAAAGTGGATCCAATATGAAATAGAATCATACCGAATTTGAATAACATAGGATTAAATTTCTGCCCACCTCCTCTTTCATATCCTTCCCACAATGTATTTAGATTTTAGTCCAACACTCTTACCACAGTCTATAGCTAAGAATTAGCAGAAAATACTTTTACTACATATGTGGGCTTACTTTTATGCCTTGGTAAGTGAAGTCTAACGGATACAATTGTACTTCTGCGAGCAACTTTGATCTCCCTAAGTCCAGATTCATCATATGAAAGGGCCTTTAATAAGAACTACACTTGGAGGAGGTATACATATTTTTCCTGAGCTGTAAAACTTTTTTGACTGATTGAGTGTAATTGTGTAGGGGGTGGAGGGTGAGCTGTGGGGGGATATATTTGTTGTTTCTCATATTAAAATCTGAATTTAGATTTTTCATGTGATTATTTCACTCTTTGCCTTTGATTGAGTTCTGTAGGCAATCACTGGAGAGGTGTTTTTCTTCAAAGGTATAGACTGACCATTTTCCCACTCCCAAACTTTTAAAGGAAAGAATGAATGGACAACATATACCTACATTTCAAACATTTTACCTCAAAATTAGAGAGATTTTTCTCTTTTAGAAATAGATATAACTTCCTGTAAAACATTTTTATGTGTTCTACTTGAAATACTGCTTGGTATAGACACCTCAAGAATTGGTGTATTAAATTGCTAATACTAAATTCAGATATGAGAGGTTTGTTTCTCCTGGAAGATTCCTATTACGTGTCAGCTTTAGTAATTTGTTTGGTTTTCCAAATTATTCCTGTCTGGTTAGGCTAAGGCCTGGAATCCTCACAGCGCCAACTGTCTAGCTCTTAATTCTGTTCTGGACACCAATTGTAAAGCTAGGTGACCACGCCAGTCGTCGGGCTCTTTTACCTGCTGGTAATCCTTCACTGACTGGGCTGATTGTCACGCTACGGCTGGGTCGGGAGCTCCCAGACCCCTCAAGCCCATTCACAGACTGGGTCACAAACCCTTCACATGCCAGGCTGGGTCCCCAGACTGCTCACATGCCAGGCTGGGTCCCCAGACCGCTTCACGCAGGTCTGTGAGCTAGGTAACCAGCCTGAAGGTCCTTGGAGCCATAGGTTGGAAAGCATGGCCATGCAGGGCGGACGCCTGAGGCCGATGCACACCCTCCTGCTTCACAAACTACCCCTCTCTCTCTCCCTAGAACACCAGAATAGAAAGAAAACCAAAAAGATACATTGGCACGCATGCGCACTAACTCCACACATGCATGTGCAGGCGCACACACACACACACACAATTTGCTTATAATGGATGTGCTAAACCACATCCAATGTGACCTGAGGTGTGGGCTCTGACCAAACTATTCTATTTTCCCAACAATCCACCCCTTCAGGGTCCTCGCCATGCAATCTACATGTTCAGAATCTTCCACAATGTTCCCTTAGCAGGATAAGTTACCCTTACATTACACATATTACACATTCCATCCCAGTCCCAAGTCTTAGCTTATTGCAGCACCAACTCAAAAGTCCAAAGTCTCCTCTGAGACCAAAGGCAAAATCCTTCCAGCTATGAATCTGTAAAGTGTCAAAAACAAGTTTATCTACTTCCAAGATACAGTGGGATAGACATTGGGTACACATTCCATTCCAGAAGGAAAGAATAGAAAGGAAAAACAGTCCCCAAACAAATCTGAAACCCAAACAGGGCAAACGTTAAGCACCCTGGGGCACCTGGACCCCTAAAGTGCTGGGCAACCTCGCTCCTACAGCTCTGCCAAGTGCAGACCATTGAGGTGCCTGGTGCCTCGGGCTTTTCCAGGCCAGCGCTGCACACTGCCAGCAGCCCCATGGTTCTGGGCTCCTGGTGGCAGTCCCGCCATCCTGACTCCACTAAACATTTCCTCAGTAGGGGTTCTCTGTGGGGGCTCTGACCCCACCTTTCTGCTCCACATTGCTCCGTAGATGACCTCCGCAGTGGCTCCACCCCTGAAGCAGGTCTCTGCCTGAGTTCCCAGGCTTTTCCACACATCTTCCGAAATCTAGGTGGAGGCTGCCATCCCTCTACTGCTCTCAGACACTGCCGGCCTGCAAACCCAACACAACATGAATGCCTCCAAGGTTTTCGGCTCTTTTCTTCAGAGGTGCTGAGGCAGGATTGGTCCAGCTAGAGCAGCTGGGATGCAGACAGCAGTTTGCTGAGGGCAATGACATCTCAGGTCCGTCCTCTGGAAAAACTCAGTTCTCCTAGGATGGGAGAGGTGCTCTCCCAAACTTCTCAAATGCTCTCAGGGCCTGTGATGGGTGGGGCACCCATCCGGACTTCTCAAATGCCTTTAGGGCACCCCTCTGGCCCCCTAGCCCCCCCGCCCCTTGGCTCTTAGCCTCTGGCTGCCTCACCTCCAAAATAATGTTTGTTTGTTTGTTTGTTTTGACCAGTAAGTGGATCGCAACCCTTGGCAAGGTGTGGT